AGAGCAAAGGTTTCTAGTCCAAGACAAGAGGGACAATAGCACAGCCAGCCTTCCCCGCGGCCAGCCCGGGAACGTTCCCCTGAGCCCGGCCTCGAGTGGCCTGAGAAAAATCAATCAAAGACAAGATTGTGCGCCCAGCACCGCACCACGCAGCCAAGACTCCAACTCCGTGACTGTCTAACGGGGGCATCGCAAGAGACTCTACCCTGAGTCTGAAAACCAGATGATTCCTTGGCCCCTAATCCCCGGCACCTACCAAGTCCCAGAGAATGCCAGCCAGGCAAACACGCCTGCATTAGACTGTACTTTCGATTTACGCTGGAACATCTTTCACAGATCATTACTCTCAGACACAAATGTCAACCTGACATCGCAAAGGCGCCAGAGAGTGCAGGCGCTCCCCGAAGGCCTCTGGCGGGGAGGATGGGCCAGCCCCGCCCCGCCCAGGACTCGCTGGGCAGTGAGAGGACACAGGTCGGGGGAAGTGGGTGGACAAATTACAGTTTAGCTCAGGAACCCGAAAGGTCACGGAGAAGAGAGGGAGAAACGGGGAAAGAATTGCGAGACAATTTGGCATCTAGAAGTTTCCCAACCAAGCACAGCTCAGGGTCAGTTTCCGGCTTGCAAGTGGGGGACAGAGAGGGCACCCCATCCCCCAGGGAGCACCTCATGAGCATTAGAGAGATCTCTCGCAACTGGGGACAATGCCCAGACAGCAGCCCTGCTCCAGCCAAAGGGCAGACACACGTCAGCTCAGCTGAGCTCTGTCCTCGGGCTCCCCACAAGGCCCCACGCCAGCTGCCCTGGCCCTTCCGGTCAGCACCAGGAGGCCGCTACTGACCACCTCCCAATGCTCTCTTCCTGTTCAAGGCTCTCAGGGCCGGCTTCCAAGGTCCACAGCCCACCACCCGGACCGGGAGGGGATCAGCAGGGAAGTATTTCTTCCCAAGGTCCCCAAACAAGGAAGTTGGCTCCTGGTTTATAATATGGCGCAGGGGTGAGGCTGGTGTGCAAAGCCCAGACCCCGGGCGCTGCGAGCGGTCAGCCTCCCTGCGCAGAGCACTGGCGTGGAGCACCTGACTTTAGCATCAGAGCTCTGGAACGCCCTCTCCTTGCAGAAACCCAGAGGCAGCCGCCATCTGCTCCCCCCCTACTCCTTTGACCCCCTCCAGAAGATGGCTCAGTTCCCACAGAGAAAACAGCTGGGAAGGAAGGTCGGTCGGAAGGTGCTAGCCTTGCATGCAGCCGACCCAATTCAATCCCCAGCACCCCGTGGCGTGATCCCCGGGTGCAGAGGCAGGAGTCGACACTGAGCAGAAGCTGGTGTGGCCCAGAATGAAAAGAAAAGCTACGGGGGACCGTCCTGGTCTCCCCAAAGCCTTGTTCTCAGGGACACCCACCCCCCGGATGTCATTCCTAAGAGACAGGACACTCCCTTCTGGTGTCGGGAGCTGGTCCTGAGCAGCACAGGCCTGGGCAGCGCCCCCAGGGGGGCACCCGCTGTGGCACAGCAACCAGCTGTCCCTGCGTCACCCGTGCCCTGGAGGCTTACGTGTCCAGGGAAGCAGCAGCCCCTGGCCACCTGACACCCTCCCCCATAGGCTTCTGGAAGCACCTCTCCCATGTCCACCACCCCATGACCCACCCCCGCGCTGAATCCTGGTTCCCACTTCCCACCCTGGTCCCAAGGGAGTCCTGAAAACCTCATTTGCCCCAATCGCCCTCTACCCTTACCACCAGGATATAAGGGGAAACTGAGCCAGAATCACCCAGCGGGGGCAGATCAGGCAGTTGGGGTTCGTTTGTGAACCCGCTGTGCCGTCCCTCTTTGAGACTGGACAGAGGGGCTAGGATGGTTTCAGCTGGGACCACTGGGCTGCCCCGTGATAGTCAGAGGGAGAACGGGTGAAAATCAAGTAAATGGAGGGGCCCAGCCTGGGGCCACAGGATAGGACAGAGTCCCAGAAAGGAACCAGGGTTGGAGAAGGGCCGAGAAACCCAGGTCTACGGCCTTGGGAGGGAAAAGCCACTTTCTAGCAAGGGGAACCATTGAACGAGTGAGCTGGATGGTCAGAGGGACAGTACAGCAGGCGGGGAGGGCGCTTGCCTTTCACACTGCTGACCAGAGTTCAACCCCCCGCATCCCATAGGGTCCCCTAGCACTGGGAGTGATCCCTGAGTGCAAAAATCAGGATCCCCATGGGGACTGGAGACATAGCACAGCAGGTAGGGCGTTTGCCAACCCGGGTTTGATTCCCAGCATTCCATATGGTTCCCTGAGCACCGCCAGGAGTAACTCCTGAGTGCAGAGCCAGGAGTAACCCCCATGCATCATAGGGTGTGACCCAAAAAAAGCAAAAAGAAAAAAAAAACTCAAGATCCCCAAGCACTGACATAGAGCCAGAAACAGGGCTAGGAAGCACCTCTGACATGACCTTGACCCTTCGGGAATGTCAGGGTCAGTGACCTCCACATGTGACCCCACAAGTGCAGAGACTACCCAATCTCTCCATGCAGGACACTGAAGTTAGAATTGCTACTAGACTCCGGGGGGCCAGGCACCAGGGCAGCAGGGAGGGTGCTCGCCTTGCATGCAGCCCACTGGCTCGACCCCACCACTCGATAGAGTCCCTGCGCCCACCTGGAGTGATCCCTGAACACAGAGCCAGAGGACACCCTGCACATCACCGAAAGATTAGCAGTGTAGCACTGTCCTCCTGTTCATCGATTTGCTCGTGCGGGCACTAGCCATGTCTCCATTTGTGATACTTGTTGTTACTGTTTCTGGCATATCAAATACACCAGGGTTACTCTTGATAGCTTGCCAGGCTCTCGGAGAGAAATTAAATGTTCCCTAACAGTAAGGGAACGGCAGCTGTCGGGAGCCCGTTTTCCCCCAACGGAGTGGAGGGTTACCAGGGGTGGGGAGAAGGCAGCCATGGTACATGGAGTGTTCACTTAGAACTGGAGACGGGGCTGGAGCGACAGCTCAGCAGGTAGGGCATTTGCCTTGCATGCGGCCGACCCAAGTTCGATTCCCAGCATCCCATGTGGTCTCCTGAGCACCGCCAGGGGTAATTCCTGAGTGCAGAGCCAGGAGTAACCCCCGTGCATCGCCAGGTATGACCCAAAAAGCAAAAAGAACTGGAGACAGGTCCAGAACAACAGCACAGCAGCTAAGGCACTTGCCTTGCACGTGGCTGACCCAGGTTCGATCCCCGGCATCCCATACGGTCCCCCAAGCACCACCAGAAATGATCCGTGAGTGCAGAGCCAGGAGGAACCCCAACACCGCAGGGTGCGGGCGCTTCCCCCACCCAAAACAGACCAGTGACACAGCCTCTGGACACACACAGCCCTGGCGGCTCTCATGCATGTCAGGATGCCCTACATGCACACACTGGTCCCCATGTTCCAGAAACTTCTGCATTTCTTTCTCCGTGCCCTCTCAGTGGTCTCACTTGACTTTCCACTTCTTACTCCGAGTCCTGGAAACTCGCCGGCCCCAGGAGGCAGCCCCACGACCCCTGGAGCAAGTGCCACACTCGGTCCCACCGTGCTGCCTTTCCAGGGGGACAGGACTCAGTCCCCCTAATGCAGACCAGAAGCACCACCCCCTCTGTCCAGGGAATCAAGAAACTCGCGGGCATGGCCTGGTGTCACTGGGCAGCACGCGTCCCGCCCACGAGAGGCCCACTGAGGCAGTACCCTCAGCACCCAGGCCCGAGCCCCATCTGACGAAGAACAGACGGAGGGGCAGATGGTGTCCCTGCCTCTCCCCAGCCTTGCCCTGCAGGTCCCTGAGGGTCTGAAGTGACTGCCAAGCACGCTGTCACCAAGCACCACTGGGCGCTGGCATGGGGGTGCTCGCTCCGGGCAGCCTCTCGCCAGGCTGAGCACTGGAACAGGAGCTGGGGAGGGGGGCTGCTGAAGGGACACACACACCTGAGCACAACCCTGACGTATCAGACAACTCTGGAGAAGAATGCACCTGGGGCTGGAGCGACAGCACAGAGGGGAGGGCGTTTGCCTTGCAGGCGGCCAACCCACGTTCCAGTCCCAGCATCCCAAATGGTCCCCTGAGCACGGCCAGGGGTGATTCCTGAGTGCATGAGCCAAGAGTAACCCCTAAGCATCACCAGGTGTGACATCTCCCCCCAAATAAAAGGCTCCATTGCAAGGAAGCATCCGAAGCCTCGTCCTGACCCTGTGCACCGACCAGGCCCCCAGCCGGAGACCCCAAGTTCTCGGACACAGCCTCTTGGCCACACACGGCCCTGGCAGCTCTCAGGCATGGCAGGATGCCCCGCGTGGCACACACTGGTCTCCATGTTCCAGAAACTTCCGCATTTCTTTCTCCGCGCTAACCAAGACCCCTGCTTTTTCCAATCCAGGGGTCCTCCTGGTCCCCCTTTGGGGATTCCGAAGAGAAGCTCTGTTAAAGTCAGGAATCAGGCAGGCCTGGCAATGCCTGGAGAAGAACACGGTGCGTTTCTGAACCTCAACAAGCAGAGATGTTGGGGCCGGAGTGATAGTACAGCAGCTAGGGCCTTGCACACGGCCAACCTGGGTTCCATCCCCGGTATCCATTCCCCGAGCACCGCCAGGAGTAATTCCTCAGTGCAGAGCCAGGAGAGTAACCCCTGAGCATCGCGAGATGTGACCCAAAAGGCAAAAAAAAAAAAAAAAAAAAGCCAAGGTGCAGTATCCTCAACCCCCATCCCCCCCCCCACACACACAGGTTTTTTTTTTTGGGGGGGGCACAATCCTCAACAGGTTGACACCCCCCCCCAGTAGAGTTACCAGAGCAAAACAATGAGAGAGGGAGATGCAGATCAATGTGCCCAGACACGGGAGGGGGGAGGCCGGGAGGGCGGAGTGCAGCAGCTGGCGGGCACAGCACCCCTCTGCAACCCCCCCCCAATCTCACAGAGGAGAGATTGCTATCTCTCCCTCTGCTCTGCAACAGAGAAAACACGAGATTTTTTTTTTTTACTCACCTTTGGAGCGAGTGGAGATATCCATGCCCTCTCCCACCTCCTGTTCTGTTTTTATTTCCTCTTCAGCCAAGCTGAAACAGAGCAAACCACGTTTATGTTTAGGGAGCTCAGCTAGCCCCAGTGGGGAGCGTGGGAGGGGGGGCGATCCGACAAACCCACCTTGAAGACCCGCCCAGCCCAGTCCACCCCCTTCCTTAGGCAGAGGTGGAGGCAAGAAACCCAGGCTGGGTTTCAAAGCCAGTGTTTGAAGTGGTAGCCACCAAGACTCCTAAAGAAGTTTTTTGTTGTTTTTTTTTTTTTTTATAAAAACACGAGGTCGGTTCTTGTTTTAAGTCAAATTACCATTCTAGCAGTTAATGCTATTGAGGGAGAAATTTTTTTAAAGTGTTTTTTTTTTTTAGACACACAATTACAATCTAGCCCTGTGGGCCAAGGAGAGGGAACCTCCAAGTAAACAAGTTTCTCTTTGTCAACCCCTAATTCAAAGGCCACCAGGTTAGAGGTGGGGGTTGGGGGGCCTCCCTCCCCCCCGCGGGGGGGTGGGGGGGGGGAGCCGGATGGCTCTCTGAATTCTGGATGGCCAGGGCTACTATGCCTTCTATCTCCCAGTTAAAAGCCAGGATATGAAAAAAAAAATACATATAGGTTAAGTTACAAAGTAGGAAATTGTGTCCGGGACTAAGAGCAAAAGGCCTGGTCTCCAAAAAACGTTCCCACCAGCAGTATTTAATATCCCAAGAATCAGGATGGGGGGTCTCCGGCCCCCAGCCCTAGTGTGTGCCCTCTCCACAGGCCTGGCTCAGAGAAAGCATTCAGCAGGCTTCTGAGCTGTGACTAATTATCCCCCACCACCAAAGTGGAATGAGGAAGGATTACTTAAAAGACTGAGAGGGGGAGGAGGGGTGAAAGGCGAGGGAAGTGGCCCTCCTCTCTGTCCAGGGTGGGCCACTAGAATCTTCTCTCTCCCTCTCTGCTGGAACTGGGGGGGAAATAGAGTCCAGGTTCTTCATCTACTCCCTCCAACACCCCCCCCCCAACACACACACACACACACACACGCGCGCGCCCTTCCCAAGCCAAGCCAGTGAGTTCTGCTTTTGGAGTTGTAAAACGTTAGAGGTGCTGGAACTTTCCAGACATTTGGGCCGACAAGAAAATGGTTAAGGATGGACAGCAGAGACTCCAGAAGCCATCCCTCAGGACTGCAGGTTCCGCAAGAAAAAATGGGTACAGCACCCGTGGATATGGCTGGAATGTTCCATTTTGAAGACTCAAAAGCCAGGACAGGAAGAAGGCTATGTCAGCGTGGTGGGATTAGAATGTCCCTCTGTGTTCCGTGGTCTGGGACGTGACAAGACAAAAGACAGTCCAGAAAAGGCCTGAGCCCTCAGGAGAGGTGTTAAGAGAGGCCAGAGTTGGTGAGGCCAGGGGATTAAGGAAGGGAGAAGGATAAAAAGAGAGAGAGAGAGAGAGAGAGAGATTATAGCTCAGAATTAAATTAGAATAACCTGGAGATCTCCAATTGAACTAGTCCCAGCAGAGAGAAGAAAGGTAGTTTGGTTTTTAAATAGAATATTAACACACTCGGGTCTCTGATACTGAGCCAGGCTAACAATTTCATTTACGCAGTATCTGTAGAGAAAGCAGTGACACAAATCGCCCAAGAAACATGTCACAAATGGTTTTCATCAGAAGAAAGCGGCCTGTTAAATTTAAACACGTCGCTAACATGCAATAATACAACGGTGATTTGTTGAAGGTGATATTAGCACTAATACTTTTCACTCTGACTTAAGAGGCAAAACATTCCCAAGCAGGGGCTTTCTCTCCTACAACTCACACAGCGTGTCCAAATGGATACTGCTGATGGCTTCTGCTGGGGGTGATCGTTAGTAAATTTCCAGCCAAGCCCCCCACGGACCCCTCGAGATGGGTGAACTTCAACCAACTCCAGTCTGGAAGACTGCTTCCCTGGCTAGCATGAGGTATGTGAAAACCCCAACTTCTTGAAAAGGGATCCCATATCTGGAATGACGGAGAAAAAGGCTTATCTGGGAGCTGACCCAAGTGTGGGGTGATGAAAGAACAGGCATGCCTAAGAGAGCGCCCCCTGCCCCCAAACCCACTGGAAGGCTTTCTGCAGTGATGAAAATATTCAAAGGTGGATTGGCCATCAAGGAAAGCTACCTTCACCAGAACAATTATTTGCCTTGTGACCCGCTGGAGGGACTGAGCACAGCAGGCAGGAATGCAGCTAAGAAAATGCAAACTAGTTAGTTCCAGGGTGGCACTTGCTGCTAAGTTTGAGATCATCAATCCTGGAGCAGGAGGGGGAGGGTGGGGGATGGGAGGGCTAAGCTGTTTTTATCTTTCTAAGTATTACAAGTGGGCACCATAATCACCTAACTTGAGCAGTAACACCCCAGCTTCTGCCAAGGACTTCAAGCACAATTGCAGAAAACCACCTTCTCGCAGATCAACAAGCCACGCTCTCAAAGGGACCTCAGGAACGCACACACACAAAATAGCTTGTATCTGACTAAAGGAAATTGCAGAGTCTGTGCATGAAAAGGGGGGGGGGGGGGGAGACTTCATTTACAAAAGCAAAGACCAGAATGCAAAATTAGTCATTTTGAACAGCCACATCTAAAGGGACTTCCTTTTTTCTACACCACTAATCTCAAGCTTTTTTTTTTCTCCCTCTCTCTCTCTCTCTCTCTCTCTCTCTCTCTCTCCCTCCCTCCCTCTCTCTCTCCCCTTTGGGTAAAGTACCAGTATGTTCTTAGGGAGAAAAAACTATGAATATTACATCAAAAGAGGTGGTGAGAAAAGATTTGTACCTGTCTGAATGCCCCACGGATTGTGGTCATTGTAGGTTAAGAAGTGTGCAGTCATTTGGAGGAAAAAAAACAAGTTAAAATACAAAAAAAAAAACAAAAACAATACTGATTATAAGGAAAAGGCATAAGGAGAAAAGACTTTGAACTCCTGTCATTAACACATTAAAGTCTTCGACAACAGAAGCATCTTCCTTCTGCTCACCTCCAGAAACCCCCGATTATTTAAATCAGCAACAATGGAAAAACCAGTCCAGGTTTCAAACTGACATTACTTTTTTTTTGGGGGGGGGGGTCCACTGGGGTGACTACCTCCACCCCAAGAAATAGGCAGCAATTAGCTGAAAACCAAGTAACAACCTCCAAAGAAAATAGCCCGCAACTACTTTATATTATACATTATATCCCTCCACCCCTTCCTGCACTCACTTTACAGCCCAAGTCCCTTGCCTCTGAATTTCACAAAATGATACATTTCAGGCAATTAAAGAAGAGCACTCACAGTGCCTGCAAATAAAACCCACAGCATCATCCCATTCCAGAAAGAAAAGATTTTTCTTACCCCCCCCACCCCCCCAGGCAACGCAAGAAAACCTATGTTTAGTTTCTAACCTCATGCACTGAAAAAGAACAATTAAAAGTTGCGGATGAGGTGCTGCAAATCCACCACGTTTTAAGCTTCCTGATTAATTCTGAGAACTCCAGGCCGGTCGGTAATTCCCAGGAATCCCATCCCCTCAACCCTTCCAAGAGAGAAAAACAAACAAACAAGCATCTAGTTTTGACAGGCAAACGCCTGGCTACACCATGTCCAGAGATTTCTTTTCCCCCAAGTGAACTACTATTTGACTTTTAACCAAGAATATCCAATCCATCTCGAATAAATAACCAGCATGCAGAAGACTCTGGTTATACAGATGAGGCTCATCACACAGCAATTCAAGAAGCATGCATCATTCGAAAGGACTTTTCCTTCCAGCTTTTTCACTTCTCATTCAAAAATCCCAAAACTGGTCCAGGCTGCAAGAAACACTTAATCCCCAAGACACAACCTCTTCTTCCTCTTCTAGATGACAAAATAGTGAACATCCAAAAAATATATTTCTTAAAAAAAAAGACAGCACATGCTACCCTAAATCTGCAATTAATTTTTTTTTTAAAACACTGGGGGGAGGGAATGGTTAGCAGGGTAGCTTTATATAAGCACTCACCTAAAACAGGCAGAGTCATCGGTAGCTAAGCTATTTATGCAGGATTCTTAAAATGGCGTCTGGCAACCACTGCTTCATTCCTGTATTGAAGCTAAAATGGTAGCAGTTTGTTCACTAGCTGAAGTTCTGATCTAAGCAGCCCCTGCCAGTGTCAAAGCCACCTAAGCTCAGTCTCAGAACCAGGAGAAGCTCAACCAAAGGACACCAACAACCCAACTGTTTAGGAGCTTGGGAGAGAGCAGGAGGGGGGGAAAAAAAAAAAGTCTGCAATGACAGGGGGAGTTTGTGAAGTCACAAGTTCCTGAAGAAAACCCTTCCCGTTTCGATGCTCCCAGACCCAGACCCAGTCACAGAGCCAGGCCCCCGGGGCCCTGGAATCTGGGAGGGGGGGAAAGGTCAGGAATCCTGTGCGCTGCAGACAGACAGACAGACAGACAGACAGGTGTCAGCGTGAAGAGGAAAATGTTCAGGGGAGCAGGCTGGGCGAGGGAGGGAGGGAGGAACACCATCCCCCTCCTCCTGGGTCTCCTCTCAGAACGGGGCTTTGCATCCATCCCAGAAGGAGCGAGGGAGGGAGGCAAGTGCTTCAAGGACCAGAGATACCTGGAGGACCAAGGGCCAAGGGCCGTGCCCCATCCTGAGGCCGAGGGGGGGAAAAAAAAAACCACAAAACCTAAAAGGGGGAGGGAGGGGTGTTTCTGAAAACGGCCACCGAATACCCCGCCGGTCCTAAGATGGTTAATATCCAGGCAAGACCAGCCCCCGCTGCACAGGAGAAACAACAGTCAAACATCCCCTTAGCCAAGGCACAGGATACTCACAAATTAGGTTTCTGTCCACCCCCAACAGAGCCCTGAAAATTAACAATGGATTTTGCAAAAACCAGCTTGCAGAGGCCGAACTAATAGCCTCCTAGTGGCTAATGTAATTGACTGTTCGGGGGCTGAGGGTTGGCCTCACAACTCTCCTGGCGCCCTGCGTGCATGGGGAGTTTCAAGGTGACTGCCTTGGAGCTCCAGGGGAGAAAGGAGGGCACGGTGCCCGAGGCGGTGCCAGGGCCGGCCCTAGGTGGGGAATCTGGATGAGAAGGGCCGGCCCGACCCGGCAGCTGGCTGCAGCGCTGAAATGGCTCCTGCCTGCTTGTTTATCTGGGCGGAGGGGGGGAAGGGCCGGCGGGCAACCTGAGTTGGGCGAATGGTTCCAAGGCTTGGCCCAGAAGGCGACGGAAGGCGGGGAGGGCTTCTTCTCAGGGCTTCTGGGCGCACCGCAGTGCTGCGTGGAGCTTCCCTTGCAGGGACAACCGGGGGCAAAGTCAGCCTGATCTAGGGACTGGCAGCTGACGGATGTTTCCTTGCCTTTGCTGTCGGAGAGTGGAAGGGACAGCAGGCACAAACAAAGAGATGGCACCTTTGAAGTAGCTGGACTTTGGAAAAGCCTACCTCTGCCATGTGTGTGTTCTGGGTCACTGTCACCCCCACCGCCCCCCCCCCTCCCCCGTTGTTGTTGTTGTTGTTTTAATATATTCACCCAGATACACACCCTTCCTAATGGAAGACCTGAGTTCCCCCACCCCCCACCCCTTCTGCCAGGGAAAAAGGGGACTGTTTTGTTTCCAAAGAAAGGGGCTACCAGAAAGGGGGGGGGTATTGTTTTCATCCCTAATTTATAATCCAAGAGGCCCCCATTGTCTCCTGCTTTCTGCCTCAAATCTTTGAGTTGTTAATTATGAAAGTTAACTGGACTCCGGGCTCCAATAGGCCGCGTTCCTGCTCTGCAATTAGAAAAAAACTCTGTAGAAAGTTTACTGAGTGATTATATATAATTAATTCCTAGTTACAGATGGAAGACACTGACCATTTTCTGCAGCTAATAAAAGCAGGGGCCCCCCTCCTCCCTCCTGTGAATGCCACTTTAATTCCCCAAAGCAGAAAGTGAGTCTATCCTGAAAGATGGGGGGGTTGGAGGGCTTGGGGGGGGGGGCAGGAATCAAAAGCCCCAGTGTCTGTTGCTTTGCAGCTGCGCATCCTGTTGGGGACTGAGGCAGAAGGAAAAAGGAAAACAGTCCCGGACCCAGCCCATGTTCTGGGCCTCCCTCTCTGCAACTGACAAATGTGGTCCGAGAACCTTCTACCTGGATGTAAAAATTTAAAGGAGGGGGGTGAGGCTGGGGAGTGGGGGAGATTCTTCAGCTTTGGCAGACTTGGTTTTTTTTTTTCTTTTCTTCCCCTAAAAGGAACAAAGATGGTAGAAATTTCCAGAAGGCCCTGTACACAGGCTGGCCACTGCGATTGTCAATCTGTAACCTTTTCTCCGAGGCTATTGGTTCAAAGGCTGAAGGCAGGAAGCCTATTGGGCAGCTCCGTGGTCCAGCCCAGCTGCCCCGACCCAGGCCTGCTGCAATGCAGACATTTGTTTCACCCCTTCGTGAAACTGGAAAATAAGGCAACTCTGCAAAGCAATTAACTTTTTACAGACTCATGCCGGGGAGTGGTCACAGGGCCAAGGAGGAAGGGGCCCGGTGGGGTCCAGCGATGCACATGAGAAAAAAACCGGATCTTGGCTTTGCAAACTTGTGGGAGCCATTTTTTCCCTGCAAGCTTTTAAAGGACAAATGCCTTTGCCCTTAGGTTCCTGCCAGCCCAACAAACACACCATTATGCAAACGTGGAAGGCTCCAAACCAGGAGTCTTGTGATTAGATATTGCTTCTAGGGAGGCCACAAGAACCTCAATATGTAATTTCCATTTACAGCCTGGAGATAAGAACAAAGAAAATAGCTAAGTGTCTGAACTTGTGTGGGGCAGGGAGCTAGGTTGCTCAGTTTTAAGGCTGTGAACGTCGACTGCCTGCTTTTTCACCCTGGAGAAAGGGGTCTGTCTCGCACTCCTGGCCACTTAGGATTTGGTCTATTTCTCCCGATTAAGGGAATCTTTTCCCAAAGGGTACGCAAAGGCGGGGTCACGAACGGAAAGATGACACACAGAGTCACACAGAGTTGGCAAAACACTGCAATGGGCCCTCTTTTTTCCAGCACTAGCGGTCATGCTGGCTTGGTCTCCAGGCTGAGGATTTCTGTAGTCAAATTGCAGGGAAACTTCTGGAAGTGACATTAAACAAGGGTCTACTTTACCACCGAAGTAAAAAGTGAGGAATAAACCGTTCTCTGTAAAGGCGAGTGCACACACAGACCTGTGGGCCTGGCTTGGAAAAAGGCCAAATCCCGTTGTCCAGCGAGTCCTGAATCCAACAGAATTTGGGGGTGAATGGGATTCTGCATCCCAGATAAAGACCCTGATACATTCAGTACTGACACCAGGCCTTTCCCCCCTCCCCCGCCACCCCTCCTCTCTCTCACTCTCTCCCCTCTCTCTCCTTTCTCTCACTCTCTCCTCTCTTCCACACACAAACACACCAACACTTGCCTGACTCAGTGTTCCAGGCTCTCAGCCTCTGCGCATAAGCACTTAACATTTCACAAATAGATCACTACCCAGCCTTCTGACATCCAAATAAACCCAATGTAAAAGATCCACACTCAAGGCACAACGAGCTGAACATTTCTCCCCTGGCTGAGGACAAAACAGGAAGTGGAATCCTCAATCCTAGCTGCAGGTTAATCAGGAAAAAAAAAAAACAAAAACAAAAACAGTGGATTCCAACAGCCACCTAGAATCAAGACACGATTTTCAAAGCTCTTCCTTGCTTCCCTGCTAATGAAAAGCCCCCAAACTGCTGCTCAGCCAAGACCCCCCACCCTGTTAGAAACAGACCCCAAATGTTCGCCAAACTCTCTTTCACATGGTCACAGAGGAAATGGATCGCTTTTACTTACCCAACAAATGTTCAAGCAACCGTCTCATTTTTCCACAGTTAAGAGAACAGGCTGGCAGATTTGGGACTTGATCAAAAAGGAAATTTTTTTTTAAAACAGTTACATGGGATTATTAAAAACACACACCACAACAACACAACCCCACAAGTCAGGAGGGAAGGCTGTCAGGAGCTCTTACAGATAGGATTTTATTTCCTCTGCACTCTATCCCACAGGAGGGCAGAGGCTGCTACAATGTTTTAAAAAAAAAAAGGGAAAGGAAACAACTGCAAACAAGAAGAGATACATTAGTTCATTGAAAGCCATGCATGCAGGAGTCAAAAACTGAGGGATTCCAAAGGAGTCCTCGGCGATTTATTGCAGGATGTTGTCTATCTCTCCCCCACAGACACACACCCGCCCCATCCCTACTCCAAAAACTTCCTCCAGAGCCTAGAAAACACTTGGAGACGCGTTTGCTGCTAGAGGCTGGCTTGCAGAAGGCACCCTCTGCATCAACAGAAGTCAGGAAGGGGAAAAAAAAAAAGGCTGAACAATGTAAGTTTCAAGTGCAGAAACCCTGCAGGGAAAGAAAAGAGCTTGGCAAGGCACGGCCACCACCCACCTAGGCCCCAGGAGCTGGGCGATGCCCTGGCTCTCTGCTGAGGACAGGGTGCTGGCCCCCACACACACGGCCTGGCTGGGCAGAACTGAGTCCAGCCTTCCTTGGCCAGGAAAACTTGCCTTCTCTGCTCTTTGCCATGAATCCTCCTGGAAAAGAGGCGCCTGATTCGCTTACCTTCCATGTCCTGCCCCAGCAGCACGTGTCAAAAGGAAAGACAATAGTGCAGGGGAGGGAGCAACTGCTCAGAGAGAGAGAGACAGAGAGAGACAGAAAGAGGAGGAAAAAAGGGGAAGAAGAAAAAAAAAAAGAGAGAGAGCAGCTTTTTTGGCATACCAGGATCTAGCTTCAAACTATTTCCAGAAACACCCTGTCCCTGGTGGAGGAAAAGGTGTTCCAGGCCCTTGCCAGTTTGCAAAGGGGGGAGAAAAAAAAAAAATCCAGCTATGGCTAATGGCTACTTAGCCATGTGACCCAAGAAAGCAAAAAAAAAAAAAAAAAAAATTCTGTCTAAACAGTTCCAAGTTAAGCTAAGTGCTGTTGGGGGCGCGTGGGGCCCGGCCAGCCAGAGACAACTCCCTCTGCTCGCCCCCAGTGCGGATGTCTCGGAGGGAGGGGGAGAAAAGATGGTTAAAAAGTCGAGCTTACCTCTGTGGATGCATTGTTAACACTGTGTAATGTCAATACTTATAAAACATGGAGGACAGGCTCCTAGTTCTCACAGAAAAAGGGTTTGGCACTTCGGCTTGATGATCTGGCCGCCTAATAAGAGCTCATCCCCGATTGGCCGGCGCGGCGAATCCGACTGTAAGGCCGCCCGGGATTGGCTGAGACACTTCCTGAGCGATTATCTTTGTGAGGCTCTGGCGAGCAAGAGCTGTCCTGTGCGCAGAGAAAGACGGGCCTTTTCAGCTAGGCCTTTTGCAGCACGGGAAACTGGGGCCAGAGGCCCCCACGCGCGCCTCTCCCGGCCCCTGCCTGGCTCTCCCGACCCGGGCAGGCCCGTGCAGCTGCCCTGACCTGCCCCCCGCCCAGCCTGAGGCCCGCAGGGCCCTGGCAAGAGAGTTGCTGGGGGCCCCCCCTGCCCCCCGAGCTGCAAGGACTCACTCACCCTCCCCGGGGCCCACACGGAGCGTTGGAGCAGGAGGAGGACGGCTGGCCCTTTCTAGAACCCTCCAGCAGAATGGTGGCTCCCCCACCCTTCACCTCTCTCTCCCCGCCCCCCCTCCCCAGGGGGGGAGCCCCGGGAAAGCAGCCCAGGGGGGCCACGGAAAGGGGCCTGCAGCAGGCAGCGAGGGCCTCGGCGGGGCTGGAGGGAGCCCCCACCCCGCCCCCCGGCCCCCAGGGGCAGGGCCCCGGGGAAAGGAGGGGAGGCAGTGGTCAGGTCGGCTCACTCCTTCTCCAAGCAGGCCAGGGAGCCTTGGGGGGGCCCCCCGCCGGGAAGCGACCCTCTCACCTCCCCCAGCTCGGCCGGGGCTCCAAGGAAAACCACCCTGGGTCCCCCTGCGAGCCTGCCAGGATGCCCAGAGCCACCCCCCCCTCCGTCCTTACCCCAAGGCCAGCCCCAGGCGCTTCTAGCAGGCCACATGCCCAAAGCTAGACTTCCCTTCCCGGCGCCCTCCTCCCCCACGCCGAGGCCTGCTAGACCAGTCAGTTAAACAAAAATCTGACTTCCGTCGGAGTCTGCGATGCCTTCAGCTTCCTGCCTGTTAACCCTCTCTCGGGCTCCGGCCGGCTGGGAGACGCTAGGCCCCGGCGAGCAGGCCAGGCCCGTGGAAAAATACCAGCTGCAGACGCTGAGCGCCAGGAGCGCCCGCCGCGCCGCTGCTGTCTCTCGCCTCTGCTTCCCGAGGAGGCGTGTACCTTCCCGATCCAGGGCAGGCAGTGCCTGCTCGGGCTGAGGAGCCATTTGAATCCAGAGGGAGAAAGAGAGATGTCAAGCCCGGCGAGGGAACAAGCACCCCCGTTATTACCCAGGCCTACACCCGCGGCGCGGCCCTGCCCGCCACAAGCCTGCCCTGTGTCTGCGACCTGCTGGGGGGAGGGGGGACACTGGGCCCTGGGTGGGCAAGGCAAATCCCCAGGAGCTTTGCAAGGCTTCTTGCTGAAATTTATTTCCACAGAGAACGGCTTCTTGTCGTCCCCGAAGGCAGATGGAACAGCGACTTCACACACCCGCACGCACGCGCGCACACACACACACACACACACCTACACTTGGCAGCCCCCCCCACCCCCATCCCTGACACTGCTCTCCAGTAAAATATTAACTCGTTTTGCAGAGCTGCTTATAATTCCACCCGTTGCCGGAGAATTCGCTCTTTTCCCCTCTTTCCTCCCCGGGAAAAAAAAAAAAAACACCTTTGTAGACCAGGCTGCACCCAGACGGATCTGAAAGCGCCTTCCTGGGTTCTTTTTGTTGTTGGGGGGGGAGGGTTATTTTTCATTTTAATGACAAAGTGCTTTATTAACAAGATTTTCAAAAGAAAAAAAAAGTGGCAAATTGGAATAACAGAAGCTAAATAAAGACCCCCGTATCTTCCATGGTGCTTTTTTTTTTCCTTTTTTTTGCAGGAATCCAGAGGTGGCACAGCCAGAGAGGGCCATGCCTTGTCCCCTGGTCCCCCCTAGAAAGCGGGTTGGCCGGGGTGTCCGGTCCCCCACAAAGAGAAGAAAGGTCAGGCCCCGCCCCGCCCCCATCCGCCACACGGGCGCTTGGGTTCTTCCAAGCTGGGAATCTGGGAACAAACAGGAACCAGCCAAACAGGGGGTCCACGCGGCCTGCCGCAGGGCTGGGCTCCGGGAGCCAGTGGGGGTGGGGTTTGCTGCGGCAGCTTCTGCAGTGTGGGGGCTGGAGAGCCGAGATGCAGGGAGGGGCACCTCCGGGTGCTGACAACAGGTCCAGCACTCAGGCCAGGGCCTCGGAGAAGGGAGGGGCCCCCCTGGAGCGTGTGTAAGGGGTGCGGGGGTGTCCAAGGGGCAGTGGGGGTCATCAGACTGGGCTCTTCCTCCTCCCTCTGGCCAACGACCAGCCAGCACCACCCCGCAGAGAACCCTGCTCACCTCTGGGTGATGCACCCTGGACAGTGAGGGGGTGGGGGAGGAAACACAGGCTTTGTGGGCGGGGCGGCCCTCGGGGGCATGAACCTGGCCTCGGTGCCGGTGCCGTGATGGATTTTAACCCGCCTTAGAAGGCCGCGAAGCAGCTGCCCGTGTCCTCCCCCCCACCCCCACCCCCTTGGATCACTTGATGACTTGAAACGTTTTCTGGGGCAAAGAGCAGGAAGCCGCCGGCTTATTCTCGCGGCTGGGCTGGGGCTGAGGAATGCCACTGGCATTCGGGTAGGTCTGAGGTTATCTGGATAACAGGGGACAGAGACAAAGGTATGGTGGCAGATGGAATCCTGAGAGGGACGGGGGCTACAGTGGAAGCCGGGGCAGGCCGACCACAGGCCGGTCCCGGGCCACTGGAATGTGGCTGATAAGCGCGGACACAAAACCCAAGTGTCTCTGGGGCCTCCCACAGGCCCCTGGCGAGGCCTGGGCCCAGCCTGAACTCTGCAAGACCTGGAACTGCGCCCAGAGAGGTGAGGTGAGCTGCCCAAGGTCACACAGCTGGCAAGGACAGAGACTGGACAACTGGCAAGCACTGTGGACTGCACCTGCCCCTGGGCCCTGAGGCGAGGCCCATAGGCGCCCCACCCCCCTCCCAAAAGCTATTCTGCACCCCGGGCTTTGCTTGCAGAGGGTGGCCGGTTGGAGAAAATGTTTCAAATGCAGAGAGGCGCACCTGGGAGGGCTGGGGGCAAGTTAACCCCCCACACACACACCCTATCCCTCCCCCAGTCTCTCCAGCCCGGAATTAGCTCTCCTCCCCCACACAGGCTTCCTGCAAACAGTCCAGGTCACACTTTGCATCTCTAAAAGCAGGCTCCCGGCAACAAAGCTTCGCAGCCAGGGAGTGGCTTGGCGCCTGGGGGAGGGGGGGGTTTCTGGCAAAGTCTAGAGACTAGGATGGTCCCCCCGGTCGTGGTCAGCGAGTGCTTGGGGACCAGGGCCTGCCAGTAGTATAACCGGGGCCAAGGCCCAAAGGGCTGGGACAGCTTTGCTCACTGGAGTCTGGGATTTGGCCCCTGACACCACCTCGGGGATGGCATAGCCGCACCCCCCCCAAGAAAAAAAAATATATATGTAGCAGTAATAATAATAATGCAGTAGTGCCCAGGAAAGCCCCACAGAGAGGAATGTGCTCCAGACGCCCGGCAGGGAAGCCGGCACAGGCCTAAACAAGCCAGCTCCGCGCGGGTGTCGACACACTGAGCTCATCAACACGATTCAGATGTGTCTCGCGCCCGGCCCCGGGGGAAGCGAGCACCAGGCCCGGAGCCTGCAGCCTTGCAGAGGGACTCCTGAGCCCCCCCCAACTCCTCCCAGGCTCCTCACCCGGGGTGAGCCGGGGGCTTCACCCCAAGCTTTCGGTCCCCCACTCCCCCCCCCGCCCCACTGGCGAGCAGCCGGGTGGGGGTGGGTGGGTGGCGGCCTCCGCAAGCTGCACCCCGAGATAGGAATAAGCACCCCGACGGGTTTATCTGCCCCAAGCGAGCCGCAGGCCTCTGGCCGTTAGCACAAAGCACTGGCCAGGGAGGCAGGAACGGGCTCCGGATGGCTTTTTGTTTTGTTCCTCTCTGGCCAATTAGCACCGAAGCCAACTGGGGTCCGGGGTACCCGGGCGGCGGCTACCCGGGTCCTGTTACAGCGGGGAGGAGGAGGAGGAGAGGTGAGCTGGGGAGGTTGGGGCCCAGGGGAGGTGGGGGGGGGGTAGTTCCCATTTTACTTCTTTCTGGGAGGGACTGGCAGGATGAGGCAGACAGCCGGAACCGGAAGGACACAGTGAAGGGCCAAGGACGCCAGAAAGAAGCTTGGATAAAGGGCCTCCCTCACCTGCTCTCTGGCCGTCGCACCATCCTGGGAAGATGAGGACCAATTGTTTGGGTTTTTTTTTTTAATGGCTTTTTTTTTCCCTCTTCCTACTAGACCGTGGCAATGCCTAGAGATATCTGCTCTCCTCTGGAGGCAGGTGTTCCTGGCATCTAGCCTTGGGGGCTGCGATTACTCCCAGCACAGGACAGCTCCCCCCGCCCCCCGGGGGCCCCCTCCCTCCCAGCAGACCAGGGGCAAAGTCACGGGAGCAAACTGGACCCTCCTGTGCTTCTGCCCTTGCAGATGCTGTGCGTGCCTGCATGGGTTTACACGCGCAAGAACACCCACCCGTGGGGCTGGAGCAATAGCACAGCGGGGAGGGCGTTTGCCTTGCACGCGGCCGACCTGGGTTCGATCCCCAGCATCCCATATGGTCCCCCCAAGCACCGCCAGGAATAATTCCTGAGTGCAGAGCCAGGAATAACGCCTGAGCATTGTTGGGTGTGACCCAAAAATCAAAAAAAAAAAAAAAAGAACACCCACCCGTGCAGACACACGGGTACACAGAGCACAAGGAAGTAGCCTGTGATGCTTTGATGGGGGAGGGGCGGTAAAGCCACGCCCAGGAGTGCTTGGGAGATTCCACTCAGGGGACCAGAAGTACCCAGGATGGTATCAAGTTCCAGTGCTTTTTTTTTCTTTTCTTTTTTGTTTGTTTGTTTGTTTGTTTGTTTTAGGGACACACCCCGTGGTGCTCTGGGCTTACTCCTGCTCTGTGCGCAGGGATCATTCTTGTCAGGCTCAAGGGACTATATGGGGTGCTAGGGATCGAACCCAGGTCGGCCACATGCAAGGCAAGCAGCCTACCTGCTGGACTACCTCTCTGATTGAACCCCGGCCCTCCTTCATTGAAGCTCTGCCTCTGAGCTACATTCCCAAGCTAGATCTGGTTTGTTTTAAAAGCATCAAACCTGGACCGGAAAGATAGCCCCAGAGGAAACCCTGAGCACCGTCGGATGTCGTCAAGAAAGGAAAGACGCAGTGAATGAGTGAGAGACGGTTTCTCTGCTCAAGTGCCTTCAGCAGCACCCAGCTCTCAGTCAAAGCCAAGCACCGGGGGGCTGGAGCGATATCACAGCAGGGAGGGCGTTTGCCTTGCACGTGGCCAACCTGGGTTCGATTCCCAGCAGCCCATATGGTTCCCCCCCCCCCCCCCCCCCGCACCACCAGGAGTAATTCCTGAATGCAGAGCCAGGAGTAACCCCTGTGCATCGCCGGTGTGACCAAAAAAAAAAAAAAAGCTCTGGCAGTAGGCTGGGCTCCCAACACCAGGAACAAGTCTGGGTCCCCGCTGCACTCCACACCCCTGCACTCCCCATCTGCCCTTCTGTAATGCCCTCCCTCCAGCCACTCAGCCTGTGCTAAAGCTCTGTGACCCGACTCAGGTCTCACCTCCTTTCCCAAACTTCTGGCCAAAGAGCCTGAACTTAAGTGCGGTCCTGCCGGTTTGATCCCCGGCATCCCCTATGGTTCCCTGAGCACCGCCAGGAGGGATCCTCTGACTATTGCTGGGTGTGGCCCCAAAACAAAACACACAACAACAAAATCAGGGAAGGGGGTGAAGAGATGCCTGGATTCCACTCTGGGTATCTCAAAGGGTCCCCTGAGCACCACTGGATCTGGTCACACCCCCCCCAAAAAAGACAAGAAGCAGGATCTTGGATTCCACAACTGACCTAGTTAAATGAGAAAATAGCTCACAAGAAAAACAGCACTATCCTCCCCGTTGTTCATCAATTTGCTCGAGGGGGGGGGCCGAGGGCGGGGGTCGTGGGGGCCCAGTAATGTCTCCATTGTGAGACTTGTTGTTATTCGATATGTGTTTGGCATATCGAATACGCCACGAAGCCACGAAT